TGTCAATCAAAGAGTAAGATTAAGGTCCAAGGTTCTGACAATGTGTAAAATGGGAAGCATGATCAGGGAGTTTCAATTATTACACAGATATGAGCAGCAATAATCTGTTATTGCACTGTACCTTTAGAATAACTAAATATTACAACTCATTATGCAGAAGGCCAGATTTCCTGCAGCCCCTGTCTTGAAAGCACCATGAGAGATGGCCCTCCTTTCTTGCATGCTCTCAAGGTAAATCCAGGCGAGCACTTTGTAACTTAAGAGCAACTTGTTTCATAATGGTAAATTTTCAGTTTTCACACTACAGTGTGAAAATGGTGGTTGAGATAAATACAAAGGAAGTACTCATCAAGTTCTTTTCCAAGACTCTTTAGAGAAAACTGGTGCATATAGGGCAGTGTGCAAATATTTACCTAAGTATAACTGGAATGCTAAAAACTACTTGTCAACGCTGGTGCCTGTGCATGTCAACTAGAAAAGGAGCAACCACAAATTACAAAAAAACTTGAACTACGTCCTCACTTAGAGTCAGACCAAAGGAAAACTTTCTGCTCGTGAGCTATAACAGTCAGGAAGCAGTTGTCATACTTTGGACTAGATTCTTCTTTGAATCAATTAGGATAAGCTCATACTTGCAGATGAAAATCCACGGTTTTAAAATGGTTTAATGGTTTTAAAATCCACAGTGTGGTATCACAGTTATTCTTACTGGAAGAACAGTTCACACCAAAATGTAAATATGCGGAAAAACTCTTCGTTAGTTCACTATTTCCAAATTCTGCAATATGTTTCCTTAAAAAATTGTTTTGCTTTGTTCTTTTTATAACAGCACGTCTTTTGTCATGTCCTCACTTCCCTTAATCAACTAAAGCACAAAACCAAAGACAAGGTGCAGCTATAGCCTGCAATAAACGGCTCTCAGATGGAACAAGGCATGAAACGTGGCCGCTTGCTTGGAGCCTCCCGGAGAAATCGCTCGCCAGCCAGGAAGTGCCACCCTTTGGATGGACGCTTCTTGGGGGTGACAACGAAAAGCAGCTCCCAACAGCTGTAAACACTCCCACATTAACAAAAGATAAGATTATCTGCACACCTAGCTACCCTGTGTGAGCTGCCTGGCAGGGAGCTTATGGACACAAACATGCCTCGGTGATCCAAAGAAACAGGGTGGGGGTACGCTTGGGGAGAGCAACTTTCTCTTCTTATGGACACACTTATCTACTAACATATGCGAAATACAAGTTGTCTTCATCAAGGGGATAATACTGAAAAAGTCAAAGCAAACAACCCAACCCAACCCCAAGTTCAGTGGCGAGTCTGAACTGAGGGCCCCAACCACCGGTTCAGCACTGAGTCTGCAGTGAGGACAAAGGCAGAGCATTAACCTTCAAGAAGTTGGAAATCGGCTCAGAAGAATTTTGGAACGACTCGGAATTGCAGTTTAGCTTAAGACATGTTTCTTCTGTAAATCATCCTCTCCTCGTCTGCAACTGCAGGTGATCTGGATCAGATCTGGGGAACTAGAGCCACAAACGAGGAAGATGAAAGGTGTCCCAACGAGGATGACCATCAGCGATCCTTTCTGAAACCTGCTTGCGCTCACTGATGCGGAGAGCAGAGACGGGCGCACAGGCGATCCCGTGCCAGGGAAACGGGGAGCAGCCAGCCACGTGCAAGGGGATTCTCCTAGCGCTAAATATCCTGAGGTGCTGTGAAGGATGAGGCATACCTGGCAATCAGGTTCACTCTTCCCAAGAAAGGAATTTGTTTTATAATCCTCTGGGAGGGCCAAAGACGGAAGATTTTTCAGGTTCCAGTTGTAAGACTCTACATTTGTAAATTTGCCTCGTTAAAAAAAAAGACAGACCAGACCGCCTCTGAGCTTTCAAGTTTTGTTTTTTTAACATGTGCACTCAAGTACATCCTTCTGCTCTCCCAGAAAAATAAAAAGTGTGTTAGTGCTTCTGATCAAAAGAAATAAGAGAACTTTACATCCCTGTGGCAATCTGATTTCTCCTTTAAAGCTATATAAGCTCGACCTTATAGCTTTTTAGCTACACAAGTACAGGGGGAAAACTTCCTTTCTGCTGCTGAAAAGGATATTCTCAAGGCGCTTAGATCCCCGACTGATTTCGCCACGGATTACACTTCCTACTCTGACCTACAACCAACTTTTAAAACACTGTCTTTAAATGTCACAACATATTAATAACCACTTCGCACAAAGGTTGTAACACCTTCCAAAAACATACGCGCATCCAATAACACAATGTGAGAACCCAAGAGAAATTTTTGCAGAAAAATAACTAATTCTTAAATCAGCAGAGAAAGAGCTAATCCAAGAGAAACGCCTCTGAGTAGGATACTCGGCAACAGCTTCAGCAGCAGGCTAGGATAAGTTATTTCAAACAGAAGCACAGTTCGGTAAGATGTTAAATCCATAACATCCATTCAATAGTAAAACTCCGATCTGGTGTTGCTTTGGTCTCATATGAGCACACAGAGCGTTACAGCAGACAAAGCAGGAATCCTAACATAGATTTTTTAATTGCTCAGCTATTCTCATTTTAACTATGGGACGACTCTCAAAGTTTAAAACACGTAAGACTCAACCAACCCTTCAGGTACTTCCCATACATGTGACTGCTGGAGTTGACACATCAGGTTTTGTGAAACAGCGTATGGCAAAGTCAAATTTGAAATCACAACAGAGGAACAATCCCTGGGATGATCAAGGCAGGTGACCAAACTCATGCAAACGATTATCAAGATGAAGTTCCTTCTGTTAAAAACAGAATAATTTGGCAACTCCTCCCTCACTCTTTAAGAAAGACGCGTTATGCAAACAAAAGCCACTATGATACCCAAGTATCAAAGCAAAGTTTAAGATAATCCAGAATCATTTGGGCTTTAACATTGCTGTAGGTTATCCTCCAGCTCAAACATACTAACGTGTGTGGGAACACGTGCTGTTTGGCTGGCAAGGTAGTATGTGGAAGGCCAGTTAAAAATCTTTGTGATAGTCATTGGATACCTCTTCTTGCAACAGAAAATACTGAAAATACAGAAAAAGGAATGCTTCTAGAAATCGCTTATAAACGATTGAGAGAGAACTAGTTGTGTTGTTAGTAGGAACTGCTGAAGCCCATTTTCTTGCATAACAAAATAACAGCCGCACTGGGTCAAACCAAGGCCCTGCTAAGCCTGTACACTGTTTACAAAATACACTGTTTTCAAAGTGATCGTTATAAGATACCTAAAAAAGAGTAACACACACATGCAAATACATAGCAGTGCTTTTCCAGCATACTCCCCCAGCATCATGGAATTTCTGCTTTCATGTTTTGTCTCCAATTTTTGTATTCTATGCTTTTATGCCTTCCTATCTAAAAAGACTTCCTCATAAAATGGACTATTCTGCTTTCAGAGCTCAAGCAAAGAGAAATACATAAAGTCAGCAAGCGAAATCACATAAATCAATAGGAAGCTGCACATTCACTTTCCGTAAAGAAAAGCAGTATTAGCAACATATTTACATGGTATATTTACGTGGACCACGGTTTCCAAGCACACCGCGCGTGTTGTGGAGACCGAGACCCGCGGGCGCTGGAGCCGAGGGGGCTGGCTGCGGCCAGCTCCCGGCCTGGGCGGCACCTCAGGTCTAGTGGTTAAGAAGCCCCAGGTGGGAGCACCTTGCCGTCAGCTCTGCCAAAGGCAGGAGAGCTACCTACACAGCCCCCC